CTCTAGAATTAGTATTTGACTTAAATCAGGAGAAAATAGAGCATATTGTTTCAAAAAATGTTGGAAATATTTACCTCTACTAGTACATCCTCCATTTTGGTTAATTACTTTAATAATGAGCCATTGTGATCGACCAAAAAAAATCAAAAACTTAACCCCTCTCAAAATTTGAGGTTTCACATTTTAGGATACGTAGAAATGTTTGTCCGCCGTCCGCGCATTTTCTACGCAACTACTGGCCCGATTTTTTAAAATTTAGACTCAAAATTAGAGGTCACCCGAGGATGATTCTCCTTCATCGACATTTCTATTATTCGCCTTTTCCTTTCATGATGGCGACCAAAAAATCTGCGTTACTATAGAATGTATTTATATAACATACCACAATGAAAAGAAGCTTTCCGATAACTCCGAAGATTCCGAATAACTCTAAAAGTATACACTTTTTTGGTGACATTGTGATAAGATTTTTCCGAATGACTCAACTATTTTTTTTATTTTGATTTTTTTTTAAGTTTCCAAAATTTACTAAAAAATAAAAAAAAATCGTTAAAATCGGACAGTTAGTAGCAAAGATGTGGTCTCTAGATGTTTTTATGTTTTACTGCAAATCCTTCGTTTTAGTTTTTGATTTTTGAATGAATTACTGAAGTAATGCTAATTTTTTTAGCATATTACTAATGATTAAAAATAAAATGTTTAGTCCAATAATTGGAATCACCTTTTATTTCTATTACTTTGTGATTAGAAAGATGATGTTTCTTTAGATGTATAATTGTTTGGAAATAATAAACCATTGTGAAATAATTTGCAGCGTTTTGTCTATAACAGTATATTAAATATATATATTTAACGAATGTTATTTATTTATTTACAATTTAAGGTGCCATGTACAACATGTATACAGTGAATGAATGTTATATCTAGTTATTTAGTAGTTAAACTATGAAACTAAACAATTGTGTAAATTATTTATTTTATTTTTTTAATTTTTCTGTTTTATTTTTTTCAGGTAAGTGACGGAATAAATTTTTCTCATATTGCAGAATATTGGTATGTTTGTTTTTTATGTTTAACATTTATCCTCCGTATTTTATGTTTAACCGTAAGATGTAGTAACTTTGGGACTTTGTGTGTAACTTTAGGACAGCGGGCTAAATTTGTGATTCCGTGGTGGATACACAGTGTTGGTTCAGTTTGCATGGACAGCTAATGTACTGCGCTACTATCTTGCGGCACACTACTATTGAGGCACAAGCGAAAGTTTCATGAATTTTTGAAAAAAAAGCAATGGAAATAAATAAAACCTAACTGGACAACGAGTGTAGTGAACTAGGTTCTCAAACTTCCGCAAGGTAGTAGAGCAGTATATGTCTACACTAAGCACCTTTTTGCAGACTGAACCAACACAGTGAATTCTCCACGGAATCACCACAAACTAAATTTTATCCGCTGTCCCAAAGTTACCCCGTTTTACGTCACCATTGTATTTTAGATGATTGTGTATCAATGATTTATTTTTATACATAAGATGTTTCATTAAATTCCAGAAGATAGCATGAAATATAATATGTTTGACGAGATGGTAAAAAGGAAAAGGATTTACACAAAGTATTGCTACGAGAATATCTGAAAATCCCTGAATATGACAAGTTCTTCCCTTCGTCAAAACCAACTCTTTCCTCCTCTCCCTTAATAATACCGCCTCTCTCTCCCTCAAGAGTCGGGTTTTCCTTCAATATTATTCTTTACAATAATTGTATTCAAGAGTCTTACAAAATGTTAAAGAAAAGTATTACCCTTAGCTATATTCCATGCATATATTTGATTTTTATTTTGTCAATTATTTCAAAAATACACCATTTCATCATTGTTCAGAGTGTAATTAGCCAAATTGAAAAATTGAAATAAGAACCTCAAAACAAGAAAAAAAAATCCTATGAAGGTATGTCCGCAAGCGCTCTGTTTAGGAGATATTCACACCTAACGATTTTCGTTGTTATGAATTATTTACGTTATATTAAGTAAATAAAACTTATTTATTTGTTCCGACTACTAGTTAATTAAATTAATATTAAATGTCGTTCAAAGTGATTTCCTTGAGCATTAAGAGAGGCTCGGCATCTTTCTCGTGTTATTGTTTCACAAGATTCAATTATCCTTCTTTGTAAAGAATTAAGGTCATTGACCGGACTTGCCTAAACTTGCGGTAATAAACTGTGTACCCGTTGATAATGATATGGGTGAAGTTCATCTGCCATGAGAGTTCTCCATATTATAGTTGGCATAATATCTAATTCTTCTCCAGCTCTTCGTACACTGCCAGATAGTTATCATCAAAATATTTTAACATGGTCGCACTTTTTTCTTCATTTCGTAATGGGATAAAAATACCATCAGCACGTCTCTAAGAAGTTAAAACGTGAAGCTAAAGATAGACTTGTTTGGTAATCTTCTATTCGGAAATCTTCTGGCATATTCACGACGGGCAGCATTACCATTACCATTGCAAAAACCGTATACAAACACCATATCGACATATTCATCATCATTAGTATGAATGGAAGGCATAATGATGAGTACTCTGCGAAAATCTATTACAAACTGATAAATGTTATTGAGAGTTCCCAATGCTAATTCGAAATACTATTAATCCCTATTTTGCCAATAGTCTTTTATACAGTTAGGGATAAAACACCATTTTTTGAACACCATATTTGAAGGGATACAGAACTCATTTTGAACAATATTTAATATGAATGTTATTGTTTACGTTTAATTAATAGAGTAGTTAGAACAAATGAATAGGTTTTATTTATTTCATGTAACGTAAATAATTCATAACAACGAAAATCTTTAGGTGTGAATATCTCCTAAATAGTGTTGCTCAAATGCAAGACCAAGACGAGTCTTGGTCTTGCGCACTTCCTCTTCGTTTTGGTCTTGTTCTTGGCTAAGAATGTATTCTAGGTATGCTATGAAATATTAGTTAATAATATAAATTCTGGGTTACCGCCTAACCAGGGAGAAAAAAAAACGTATCTTGGCAAAAATATAATTTTTTATTTGTATTATGTTACCCAATTCAATTTATTTATAAATAAAATGAAATTTCGCTTTGAATAGTCGGGTTGAAGCCTTTTGTGGTTGAGTTATAAAGAAAAAACATAAGGGGAGTTAATATTGAGCCTTGCGGGACTCCAAGGGGGTCAGGTTTTGTCGAGGGCAAAAGTTTTTAGTTTAAGAGCTCCTCTCGCAGGAAAGTTGTCTCTATTCATAACTTTTACTAGAGGCAGAAAGAATCAAATGCTCACAATTTCAAGAGAATGGATTTTTGTTCTAATTTTATGATGTCAAAATTTCAAATCCTGATAAAATATAAGTGTGTTAATTTTATGAGAATAATATTTATTTTAATTGTTTTTATTATATTTATTCGTTTTTGCTTGAAGTTATTTACCTAATGTGAATATTTCTTGTCACTCCAATTCACTATTCACTTTTCCCAAGAAGCTCCTTATTTTAGTATTTATTAAATGTTAATGTTAACATATATATATTCTTGATCGTCATATATTAATAATTTTTTTAATAAAAACGTTCCTCTTCTAAGCAAACGCTTGTTGAAACTGAATCTTCAATATCCATCCTTTTTTAAAAATTGCAATTCCTTTTTTGGCACTACAGTATTTTTATAACGCTGATATTTTTCTATTAAAATATAAAGAAAAAAAGATTATCAATACTTACCTCATGTAGGGTCTTTGGTTCAGAACTTTGTAAGGAAGTTCAAGACCAAGCTAAATGGAGGTGATATAGGATCGGGATCACGCTCAACTACGAGGTTTAACCTCATGATTAAATAATTATTTAAATGCCCATTTTATAGAGGTTGGGTGTGCCCTAGGAGAGGTTAACCCGCGGTTTATGAAACAGATTAAATAATAACCTGCCATCAATTGGATTCGAACACGAGATCTTGAGGTTATGTAATCAGCGCCTTACACACTAAGCTACTCAGCTCCCTCTGTTAACATACATTCTTATCAAATACATTCAAAATATATATTTAATTCATATGGAATATAAATGATATCCTGTGTATACCGAGCATGTCGTCCTTATTTGTACCGCCTATGAGGAGGCACCTAGGGCCAAGTTGATGAGGGAGACAAGGCTATAAATTCCAATGAAGCCTTTATTTAATTCAAGGCCTTTTTGTATGGATGGAAGAAACTGGTTGGTGTCATATCTCTTCACCTTTGTTAGAAAAAATATGATAATGATGCATTCGGAAGTGTGAAACAGAAGATTCGTTGAAATTAAAAAAAAAATATTGGTTGCTTAACAGAGCTTAGTATGATTTCAAATTAATAAATAATAATTATGCAATATCGTTACAGAATATCCCCCTCCCCCTTTACCCAACCTTGCATACTTTATAAAAGGCTTCGGTTGAGTTTTAGAAGTGAATGATAAGTTTTGTTTTTAATGTTTGACGAGGCCCTTAAAAATTTAGGAATTTCTCTGCAAACCCGTTGAACACCAGTGATGGGTCTGAGTGAGGAGTCCGACTTTCCCTTATGTTTGGGCGGTAATAAAGCTAGTTTTGAAATTCCCTTGGCTATGTGTAATTTGTTATTTATTTATCATTGATTTTTTTTTTTAATTCTTCTTATTTTTCTTTGATCAAGGTATTAATAATAACATGAAAACTCTAATATCTATTGTTTTTAACTGTGACATGTTGTGTTATTCAATAATAAAAACAGTAATTTATCTAAAATTAAAAAAAGCATATTTTCTGGGAATTTTTCAAACACTGCTTATACGAAGTTTTAAATTACAAAAGGGAAAACAGCAACTTTTTATCTCAGTTTTTTTTTTCTGTTAGCATGAATAAACTTTTTCGCGGAATAGCGCAATATTTGCCTGGATGAGGCTTTGAGATATGTAGTTACCATGCAAAAGATAACTGGGGTGGGATGTGAGTTACGTTTTCAGATAGTTTCAAATACATCTTCCTTATCGTATTTTTTTTCAAATTGACCGGGAAAAAAACCTCTCTCGATCGGACTAAATGTTATTGCCGTTCTACCTGGAAGCCGTTTGTACAGGGCTAGCTGGAATTCCATTAGTCCCAGTTTCCCTGGAAGGTGGCCTACTGGAATTGGAACTGATGCGATAACTTTCTCGGATAAAGTACTGGAGTGCGGTCCTACCTGAGCTGACCTAGCTCTGACATCGATCCCCGAGGCACGAGCTCGACTTAAGGTCATCCACCCGTTACCTCCAGGCCCGTGGCAACAACAGCCTCGGCGGTGTTGACACTAATTATGAGGCGGAGTACTACCGAATCGAATTTATAGCTCAAAGGGAGCTAGTAATGTCAGTAATTAAGCTGGATAATCCCTTGAAATTAATATCGTTTCTAATTGGCCTTCTATTGCGTATTAATTGTTCACTGAAATCGATTCATGTGGAATTGATTTTTTTACTTTCACTTACCTATATATAAAATATATAGTAAAGGAAAGTATTGCGATCGTGAAAATTTTTGAATCTCAGTTTTCAACGGAATTACACGTTTTGAGGTCTCCTGAGTCCAAATAATCAAGTCCTGCTGAATGGTCTGTGTTAGTGTGTGTTAGCAGTCTACCTCAAAAATGAAAAGTCGCACGAAAGTTAAATTGCATATTTACGATTTTTATATGCTAAGGATGTTACAGCAGCTTTTTCATCAAAATCGGCTAACCGAAAGTGGCACTTTATATAATGGACTAAACACATTTTTGCGATTTTCTCGAAAACAGCTCTAACAATTTTTAATTAAATTCATCATATCAATTTAAAGTTAAGCAGTTTTAAATAAAATGTGGTTTTTATTCTGATTGATATTTTCTAACAGGGCTCAAATGGCCGATTTTCAATATTAGCTTCCCTAAAGTACCTTTAGTTTTTTTTTTTAAACAATTGATAATTTCATATTAATCTCTAATATATTAGATAGTTAAATATAAAATATGAAAGAATTTGATAATTAACTAAAATAGAAATAAGAGATCGTAACGGAGAATAGTTGTGATTGAGAAACCAAAGGAATAAGAGGGCACCCAAGCTCGCCGCCCTGAAGATCAGGGCTTCCAAACGTATCATGAGATTAATATAATACGGACTCCGACAATATTATATAAATATACATATGTGGTTTTCATAGATGCTATTGTTGGTATGATTTAATATTTAATTGTATAGATTACAGCGATATAAATATTAAAATTTGTATATATTAGGGTACTCATAAAAATAAAAATACCCACAATTAAATTTAAATCAATACAGTGTTTGTAATTTTTACTTTCACTTCCTCTTTGTCTAAAAATACTTACTTCTGCTAAGAAGAGGGTGTTAAGTGAAAGTTGTGTGATGCCCGCACCGCACCATTTTTTTTTTTTAATTGTAAATGTTTAGAACCATATTAGTTAGAAATGAAAGTAAATGAGAGTTGTATTGGATATACTTATAGGGAACATCCCAAAACTCTCTTATAAAATCTTCTTTTAGTGGAAATAAGTGGGTTCGGTTGGGTGTGGAGTTTATTATGAATGAATATGTCTATATCAGCGACATTGATGTCTTTATGAATTTCTTAATTTATGAAAAATTATGGGGCAATAAGATTTTTTTTTACAAAGGATTGGATACGAGAGAAATTATAAAGTCTTGTTATGTACCGAAGCTCAACTCCGTAGGAGCAAACAGGTCTTATTTTAATACTATAGATTAGTCTCTTGAAATTCGTATCTTATTAAAGGAAAAACGCAGAGCAAGATCGAAGTGTCATAGAACTAGATATCCAACAGATAAAGGCCAATACATCCAACTGACTAACAAACTAAAATCAGAAATTAGAAAACACAAAATTTACTAAGTTTTACTGGGGTCGAACTCTAAAAGACCACTGGAATATAAAAACTGTAATCGTCCACTGCTTACCAAAGGTCGAACCTGGTCCAAACCCGACGAAGTAGTAGATAATAGTAATTTAGATTAAAAGAATAAGCATATTTATATATTTAAATCTATATCCAGTAATTGCCAATGTTGCTCCTTCAAGAATACCCCCAGGCGTTTCAAAAGTTATTGATAGTAGATGAAGTAGTCCAAAAAATAAAATGGGTAATAAGAACATTCTATTGAATTAAAAATCAATATAAAAAAAAACGTTTTGCATATTTGTTTTTTAAATTATCAAGCCAATCACTAGTTGGTTCCTTAATTAAAAAAATCTGGTTTTCACAAAAAAAATCAACACACAACTTTCACTTACCGCTCTACTTAGAATAGAAATTATTTTCTGGCAATGCTGGGCTATTATAAAATTTATAATGTTATAAAAAAATATTATAAAAAAATAAAAATGCAGAAAAACCTGCGTTGCTGTAGACGGTAGCGCTTAAACGAATGTACAGATTTCAATGAAACTTCGCTAAAGTCATTTTCTCGACACCCTTTAAATTTATCTATATAACATACTTCAACGACATGTTTTTTTTAAGTTTATGGAATTTCCTAACAAACAAAAAAAATCGGACAATTAGAAGGAAAGATATGGTCTCTAGTTTTTTTCCCTGAAGAGGCGAAAATTTGTATAAATTTAAAATATACTTTTTTAATTGTAGAGACTAAAAAAACCTTTTTTCTACAGATATTTATAAAGTAAGTTTTCTAAGAACATCTTTCATAAGAAATAAGTACCTAAATTTATACCTTTATTCTCAGTTCTATATTCCATCACTGCAATCACCACCTCCGGAATCAACTTACTCACTGTCTGCATAGATTACGTTTTCAACTAAAAATATCTCTAAAATGACATTACTTAAAAATGTTGAAATTGGAATTAGTCATTCTGTGGTTTATAAAAGCAGATGTAGTAGCTAAATTTTTATTGCCTACCGTCGATATATTAAATAGACTTTTTACAATTTTAATGGTCTTTATGACTTGTTATCTGTAAGCTTTAAGGTTAGGTCCGTTTAAAATGCACTTAAAAAAATTGTATAATAGTCCAGCATTGCCAGAAAATAATTTCTATCCAAAGTAGAGCGGTAAGTGAAAGTTGTGTGTTGTGCGCACCAGATTTTTTTTATCCTTTTTCGTATTACGGGGGGTTTCGGATTATACAGACCGTCCCATAGTTCGTACCTGTTCTCCATCATTCTGAAAGTTATGATCTTCAAAACTATGATCCAGTTGCCTTCATGTTTTTAACAGACACTAACCCTTGCACTATTTTTCTGTGTTGAAGTAGCGAGAGTAAGAGAAAAGTGGAGGGTGGTAGGAGTAGCTGAGTGGTCCTGGCTGAGATGAAAGGAGGCGGGACACTTCTCATAAAGACGATATTAAAATTTAGCCCCCTAGGTGTCCTTAAAACCTTAATCCTTTACTCTCCTTCCTCTTCTTTTTTTTCTTTTTTCGGTTTTCAATTTATTTTTATTTTTCGCTTTAGGCAACCTTTTTAAATTTCGTGATGAAACATAAAGTAGAAGTTTTTTTTTTCTTTAAACTTTTTTGTTATTTTAATCTTAAATGGTATTCTTCATAAACTTATATTAATATTTTACCAGAAATTATTAAATTTCTTAAAATACCTTGCTTTTTTCTAATATTTTTTATCATTTAATTATTCTGATCTAATAGGAGTGCCGAAAGATTGCTAAATCCTGCTCTGTCAATAACTTTTGAAACGCCTAGGTATTCTTGTAGAAACAATATTGGGTAAGGATTCAAATATATAAACATATTTATTTGTTAAATCTAAATTGAACAAAAAAACTGGTGCATCCGGAAGATTACTTAACGTTAAAATCTACAAATGCAAGATTTCACAGTAACTTACACGGACATATCAATTCACTGATTCAAGTAACACCCTTGTAGGTGGCTCAAAAGAAGCTGGCTGAGGGATCTCCTCTTACTATAGATATTAAAATGAAGATAGGAAGGGTCGCCACTGGACATTCTTCTCCCTCAGGCCTACCAATGACTTACTCCAAATTCTACTTCCCGACAGCACACTCGCTGGTTGTCAGTACTTCTGACTACTATCAGAGAAGAAAAATAAAGTTAAAAATTGAAAATATATTGATCATTTTATCATTTTTGATTTTCCCTTGTTTATAATATTTCATAGTCAGCTACATTTTATATCTTATAACAGTTTATATTTTCTCTTTTTTCCCCCCTACCATTTATTGTCACATCTTGTATACGGATGCCTCAAAAGTTGATAAGGAAGTAGGGTGTTCCGTTATGAATTTTAATACTCAAAAACTATTCAAAATTCCGGAGGCTTGCTCAGTGTTTACTGGTGAAATGCTCTAGCAATTAGAGAAGCTCTTAAACACATAGAGACAAGTGAAACTACCAATTGGGCAGTGGTGACAGACTCTATGAGTTCATTACTAGCTATTGAACATAACAGACCCAAAACCTCTCTCGCAAAAGATGTAAGAAACGTTTGGTGGCTACTAAGGGAGAAGGGCAAAGAAGTAGTGTTCATTTGGGTCCCTTCGCATTGCGGGATCATCGGTAATGAACAAGCAGATCAAGCAGCCAACATAGCAAGAAAGCCAGATACAACATCCGTTGAATCAATTAATGAAATCCCTCTAGAGGATTACGTTATAAAAATTAAGGAGAATGTGTGGAACATGTGGCAAAACAAGTGGGAACAAGGAGAATCGAAATTAAAAGAAATTAAACCCCACTGTTTAAAATGGGAAACCTCGCACCGACCATCTCGAAAAGAGGAGACAGCCCTTTGCAGACTGCGAATTGGACATTGTGAGTTCTCGCACTCCTACCTACTAAGAGGACTTGATCCTCCGACCTGCGAGAACTGCAATGTCCAAAGGACAGTAAAACACATTATTCAAGAATGCCCTACATTTGATCCTATAAGGAGAAAGTTAGACATGGCACAGAGTCTGAAAGAAAATCTACAAGACCATGAAAATGCCGTTAAAAAAACTTTAAAGTTCTTAAAAATGATAAAATTCTACAACAGAGTTTAATTCAAAGGTGTTGCCAATGACCCTACAGGGTAGAGGCAACAAAAAAAAAAATCAAATATTTAATTAAATTAAGCAATATATTCTAAAGGTAGCTAGTATTTTTCTTTTTTTTTAATGATTTTCAGTAGGTAATTAATGATATTCCATTATTTTTATTTATCTGTCTCTCTCTCTCTCTCTTACTCTTCTCTCTCTCCTCT